TGGCACTATGTATATTAAGGTAAAATGATGTTTTTACTCAAATTTTCAGTTCATACTGCTCAGTATGTCTGTGTAAGAAGCCAATTTTTGTGCATTATTATAGTTTCAGGTTATTTATATTGAATGTTTTGTAAAAATCGAATAATGACTATACTATACTTATGGACCAAATAAATGGAATCTGCATACTTGTTAAAAAAAAAAAACACTCTGGATTCATGCACATATGTGCACAAAATCCCAAGAGGAGAATGGAAGAGATGAGATTGTGATGTGTCCATACCTTCAAGGGGTTTTCTCTCTCTCTCTCTCTCTCTCTCTTTCTTCAGTGAGCACATGCATCCTAAAGATCCTACAGTTAAATTTAAAAATAAAAGAAGGTAAACATGTATTTCCATATTGTCTAGCCATTCTCCCAAATATTTACCTGAGAAAACTGAAAGCACACATCCATACAGAGACCTGTATATGAATGCTCACAGCAACTTTATTTGTAATACCAAAAGCTAGAACTAACACAGATGTGTACCAAGAGGTGAGGATAGACAAGCTTTGGTATAGCTACATGATGGTATGCTTCTAAGCAATATCAAGGCATGAAGTTTTGGTACATTCAAGAAGCTGGACAAATCTCAACACCATTATGCTGAGTGAAGAAGTGACAATGTGGAGTGTATACTGCATTATTCTACATATATAAGATTCTAGAAGATTCAAACTTGTCTATGGTAACAGAAAGCAGTTTCCTGGACATAAGGAAGAGGGAAGGTGAAGAGTGGGAGGAGAGAGGCAAGGAGTCTGGAAAGCATTTGGGGTGAGGAGTATGCTCAGACTCTTTTTTAAGTTTATTTACTTTTCTTCCATGAAAGGGTGAGAATGAGAGAGAGAACAAGAGAGGCAGTGGGAGCCACAGCAATGCTTCTCTACCAACGGAGGAAACTGTGAGATGGTGAGAGTTGTGTATAAGTCAACAAGGAAGGAAGAGGTACAGGGCACAGAGCCCATGGCCACGAGCTGTCCTAAGAACAAGGACACAGACAGTGTTACCATGTTCACGCCCAGGGCTCCCCTGTCAGGAGGGTCTGTGTCTCTAGCCCCTCAGGTGGGCAGGTCTATACCTGCTTGGCCTAGCAAAGAACAGCAGAAGGAGCCTGGAAGTCTCCACTAACTGTCCCAGGAGACTGGTGTCATGCCCTGAGACCCTGGACACTTGGCAAGTTCACCAAAAATGACTGAGGAAAAAATCGCAGCTAAAGGGACCAGCAGTTAGCATAATGGCTACATCGCTGGACTGGACTCCCATGTAGTCAGCTGCAGTTGGAGTCCCGGACCCGGTGGCTTAAACTCACGCCGGGCATGTGTGCATGCGTGCCCAAGATCCCGAGAGGAGAATGGAGGAGCAGGGACTGCAGCATGGCCATTCCCCCCATGGGGTGATTTCTCACTTTCTGTCTCTCTGTCGCTCTCTGTCTCTCTGGCGAGCGCACACACCCTATAGGAAAAAAAAAAAAGAAAAAAAAAAAACCTCTCCAAAAAATATATCACAGCTAAAGGCCAGCCACAGGCAGCAGTCTTTAGAAGAGGGACATCAAAAGGAAGCTACCAGAGACCCAAGTGAGAACTGCCCAGCTGAGCCCAGTCAGCTCACAGAGCCCCAGGGAGAATGTGAGTACTAGAGCTACTTATTATAGAGCCAGCTATGGCTCACCTTCCTTCCTCTTCTTGCCAGCTCTGCTTTCTGCATGTGATCCCACCAGGTCAAGCCTGCTATGTGGCCCCTGCCCACCTCACAGGAGGCACTGTGTTTCCAGAGCACCACTACAGGACTAGGAACCTGAAGGGTAGAGGCAGAGAAGCACCGACCAACAACTGTCGCTGTATGCAAGTGTAGCAGGACACAGGAAAGGTGTGAGCCTCCTGCCCAGCCCTGTTTTCCCCTGAGCTCTGTTGCTTTCATCAGCAAAATCTCAAATTGCTGACCCACAGGACATGTATCTGGCATCACAGGGGACTCCACTGACATGAGGAAGACTTTGAAACAAACTAAGTTCAAATCTTCTCACTTGAAAAACCACCACACCTGCCACTCTTAGGCTTCCACCTGTTGGAAACAATGGACCTTCCTGGTGGGCTGCAGCCACTGGGTAGGCACCTCCCAGTGATCTGGGCAGTAGGAGCAGACATGCCAATGCCAGGTTCTCTTCTCCTTCCTGACCCAGCCCCCAAACCACCACTTAAAATCATAGCCCAAGTGCTCTGTGCTGCACCAAGGGAATTTTTCAAGTCCAAATGAGAAATTATTAACTAAAAAAGAAAGAAGTTTTGTTGCAAAACAATGCTTACATATCTGCCACAACTTTTCAATAAATTTTGGCTTTGTTACTAACATAATGTAAATTTTTTTTGAGAGGTTTTTGCTATAGGGTGCATGTACTCGTCAGACAGACAGAGAGAGATTGAGAGATAGAAAGCAAGAAATCACCCCCCAGGGGAGATGGCCACGCCACAATTCTTTCTCATGCATTCTCCTTTCAGGATCTTGGGCATGCACACACACACGCCCGGCGTGAGTTTAAGCCACCAGGTCTGGGACTCAAACCACGGTCGGCTACATGGGAGTCCAGCGACATAGCCATTGCGCTAACTGCTGGTCCCAACATAATGTAAATTTTACAGAAAAACAATTCAAAGAAGTACTTTAGCCACAAAAATATGGAATCAATCTCAGCTACCATGGCTGTAGGTCCTACTGTTTGGCAGACAGAGCTGTGCTATTTCATGAATTGGTCACATGGCCTGTAGCCCCTAATGGGCTCCTTGCTCTGAGGCTGTCACTCAGCTTGACCAGAAAAGCACACACTGATGTGAAAGGCAGGAGGGACTCTCAAGCTGGCCTCCAGTCGCCCCTTGCCCAGCGCCCATTCCCCACATTCTCTTTTATGTGTCCAAGCACACTGGGGAGGTCCCTAAAGGAGGCTGCCCTGGGCAGGGGCTGGGACATAGGGAGTGTGGAGATGCCTCGGTCTGCCTGCCCTCACCCAGTGGGTCTTTGAGAACCTTCTAGAGGATGTGAAAAGAGGATCCAAACATCCCTGGAGCAATGGGATTGGCCTTCCACATCCCAGAGGTGAGAGGCACAGTTTCCTTTCCTCCCCAGGGCCCTTGAAGACCAGGTACATGGCCAGAAGGCAGCTGGGGTTCGTGGAATCTAGGTTGGGGCCATCACTTGGTACCACCACACAGTGCAATGACCTCTCCATGTCAGACCCTGAGCCTATGAGGATGTGGGTCTGCACAGATCTTCCTTGAGCACCAAAGGGATCAGTCTAAGGCAACTCTACTCCCTTAGGACTCCCACTCAGCCACTCAGAGGCTGGTCCGTGCTGTGGTTTTCTACAACTCAAGGTCATCATAGACCTCCATGAAAAACCTAAAATTACACCATTTCCAGGAAAAGATACAGGAGAAAAAAAATGTGCAACCTTTGCTTAAGTAGAAGTTTTTCTAGACACACCAACATCATGTTGCCTGAAAACCAAACAGCTCTGCCCTTGGCATAACCCTGTAAAGATCCCAACAGGATGAGCAGATGAAGGATGGAGACTGGATGAGGCATCTGCCCACTTCCTGGACATTCTTTCCTCATCCCATGGTGACTCTTTGCTGCCTGCCAGTTGGGGGAGAGATGCTCACCAAGGCAAGTACCTCAGAGGAAAACGGGAGCCCCGGGAGTCTCCAGGAATCAGTGAAGAGGACAAGGCTGACCAAACATGGCCCCCATCCCCTTGAGGACAGTGATGCCAACCTTAGGGATACCAGAAGGGTCAGGTACAAGACCCACAGGGTGAGTTCAGAGCACGATGAGAGAGAAGAGGCCTAGCCAGGGCCAAAAAGGACCTGCCATCCAGAAGCTTCCACGTGGATGAGCTTCTGGTGAAGGCGGGAAATAAGAAACAGATCCCAGAAACACACAAGTGCTGAGGGCTGAGGTCCCCCAGCCATGAACTGGCCCCACACAGCCATGAACATTCCCTTTTCATCTTTCCTGGTGTTCCAAAAACCCACACGTGTAGCTTACAAAAAGGAATATCTGATATCCTTACCCCCAAGGCAGGAGAGTGGCCAGCATGAAGACAATCACCCAGCAGAGGTCAGACAAGGAGGCTCAGAGGTGCACTCTCCCCAGCCCTGCAACAGCCACCAGCTGCTGCAGCTGAATCCCCGTCCCATGTGCCCCACCTCTGCTCATCCTAGGAGCAGGGAACACCAAAAGGAGTCTGTGGCCCATGTAGCTGAGCTCCAGGAGTGCTAAGACACTGGGCCGGGCTCCCACAACAGAGGCCCATGCTGCCAAGTGACTACTAGCCACCTGCAAAGGTGTGGCTGGCTTGCTCAGCTCTGCATCCAAACGTGGAGGTAATGAGCCAGGGCTATCAGTGCAGCCTCACTCAGCCCAACTTTTGGCAAGACTTAGCTGCCACAGGTGACCAGTCACAGGACGTTCTTTAAATCCCCACACACAGCCTGCCACAGGTGAGAGTGGCACTGCCCAGGTCTGGCACCTGGGGTATCAGCACTGGATCCTACAAGGGCAGCAGAGCCCACAGCCCAGGCTGCCTCTGAACAAGGAAAGGGCTGCAACTCCAGCTCTGCCTGCACCTGCTACAGGACAGTGCACAGCAGGTGCCACAGAGGGCAGCTGGTGCCTGTATGCAGCTGCACCACAAAGCCTTTGGCCCAGAAGGCTTGACTCAAGGCACGTGGGCCGTGCTTGCCACGAGTTCTCTTATTTAGCAGAGGCAGGGCTTACATCCAAGAAGAGGACTCAAGAAACAGCAAGGCTGAAACAGCAGGTGATTTGCAGTCTGGCTGGTGGAACTGCTTAGCAGCCTGTTCAGCACACATTTCAAAAACAGGGTCTCCACCTGTCACACACACACACGTGGGCATTTCAGAAGCTATCTCAGTGCAACGTGAAGCAAGTAAAGTGCTGCACTTACCGTGGCTAACTCGTCGAACTTTCCAAAGAGCTCATTGAGGAGTTTCACCAGCTCCTGGGCTGTGCACTGGGATGCCAAGCCTGTGAAGCCAACGATGTCTGCAAACAGGATGCTGCAAGAGAAAGGGGGTGCTGAGGTGCCCTCCTTCAGGCACGTGGGAAATAACAGCCTCTAGGTTTATATAGATGTTTATGTCTATAAATCACCTTAGCTATTGCCCATGTGGGCCACAGGTAGTGTGGTGGTTAAGACAGCTGGATCCCACATGGAGCTTGAAAAATATGCCCTGCACATGTGCATATATGCCCCAAATCCTGAGAGGACAGCAGAGAAGAAGGGATTGCATTATGGCCATAGCCCCTGGGAGGTTCTCTCTCTTCCTTATCTCTCTCTCTCTGAAGAATGCATGCATCTTATAGTAAAACCAAAAAAAAAAAAAAAGAAAGAAAAAAAAAAGAAGAAGAAGAATCACCCATTTATTCCTCAATGCATACTGGAAATGCATTTGTCTGTCTCATAATTCTGGTGGCTTATTCCCATTTTACAAGAGTGGGAGAAGACTGAGACTCAGAAGTCCCAGGATACTCTTTTGGCCACAGAGGGCATAGAAGCTGGAGCCATTCAGAGACTGCTGTTCATCTCCCATACTGACCCCTCACATTACATGGAGAGATTCCATCTGCCATCCATGAGACCTGCCCCTTCCCAGGAGGCCACGGGAATGTTGTGGTCAGTAGCCTTTGCGCAGAAGTGGTGTGCTTTTAAGAAGGTCATGGGCCCCTCTGCATCCTCTTTTTCTCCCTTCACCAGCTATACTCTGTGACCATGAGGTCCTGAGTACTGTGTCAGAGCTTCACAATGGAAGGGGCCAGAGTCCCGGAGCTGCTGCATGAAGGGGAGGACACCTCCATCTGCCACAATGCACTCTTCATGTCGGAGCCTCCACGCACTGGGTGACCATTAAGTATAAAGTGGAGGGGAGCGTGGGAACCAGCAGTTAGCGTAATGGCTATGTCGCTGGACTCCCACGTAGTCGACCGCGGTTCGTGTCCCGGACCCGGTGGCTTAAAACTCACGCCGGGCGCGTGTGCATGCGTGCCCAAGATCCCGAGAGGAGAATGGAGGAGAAGGGATTGCAGCGTGACCATCCCCCGTGGGGGGTGATTTCTCGCTCTCTGTCTCTATGTTTCTCTCTGTCTGTCTGGCGAGCGCACACGCCCAACAGTGAAAATCTCTCCCAAAAAAAAAAAAAAAGAAAGTGGAGGGGAGCATTAATAACACAGTGTCTAGTGTCTACCTACATATCAGAGACATCTTTCTAGAAATGATAAGGTTTTACAAGGATGTTTTCTACTGTTTTCTTAAATTAAAACATGCTCTTTGCAGAATATTTGAACAATGGGGAAAAAATCACTCATGATTTTTTGTCTCTAAAAATGTAACTTTATGATAATTTTTCTAGAGAGATTTTTGCTATAGGGTGCATGTGCTTGCCAGAGAGAAAGAGAGAGATAAAAATGAGATAGAAAATGAGAAACCACCCCCTCAGGGGGATGGCCATGCCACAATCCCTTCTTCTCCATTCCTCTCTAGGGATATTGGGCACATGCACCCAGCATGCATTTTAAGCTGCCATGTCCGGGACTTGAACCACAGTCAACTATGTGGGAGTCCAGTGATATAACCATTATGCCAACTGCTGATCCCCAACATTAAGGTAAATCTTAAAGCACTGTAAAACTCAGACCCAACCATGTATTCACACTTTGTTACAATATGTTCCTAGTTCGGGAACCAGCAGTTAGCATATTGGCTATGTTGCTGGATTCCCACATAGTCGACCGCGGTTCGCGTCCCGGACCCGGTGGCTTAAAACTCATGCCGGGTGCGTGTGCGTGTGTGCCCAAGATCCCGAGAGGAGAATGGAGGAGAAGGGATTGCGGCGTGACCATCCCCCGTGGGGGGTGATTTCTCGCTTTCTGTCTCTATGTCTCTCTCTGTCTGTCTGGCGAGCGCACGCGCCCTGTAGTGAAAGCCTCTCAAAAAAAAAAAAAAAAAAAGAACAATATGTTCCTAGTTCTTCTCTAACTGTGGGACTTCTGACCTGGACCACCCCACAGCTCCCCTGTATGGACACCATAAACATTAGGGCCAGGGGAACAGCCCACCATTCGTGTTGATGACACAGGATGTTGCCAAAGACGGGCCAAGGGTTTGGGGCTTGAACTCCAGTGGGGTTACCCAGCTCTGCCATCCACAGAAGTAAGATCCCAGGCAGATTACCAAACCCTTCTGCATGCCTGCCCTTCCATCTACAGTCTATCCCATACCCTGCACCTAACTAGAGCTCAATAATTACTTATAATCACTTATAGCTGTTAAGTAAAATTCATTTATTGACTCAAAAATATTATTTAGCCCACTTAGGCTGGGATTGTTCTGTATTTTGGGGATTTAGTAGTTGTTATGGTTTGGATAATGGCTTTTCACCCAAAGGTTCATGTTCTAGAAACTCAGTCCCCAGTATAATGACTTCAGGAGGTGGCAAGACCTTTAACAGGTGGGGGAGGGTGCCATCCAACTGGCTGGAAACAGATACACAGAAGTGGAGAAGTCTGATTCCTCTTTCTCATTCTCTCTCTGTGTTAGCCATGCTGTGATAGCGCCTTGTCCCTACTTCTCCCTCTTCCTCTGTCTCTCTCCATGTGGCCATAGACTGCCTGCTTCTCTGGGCCACGTCTTAGCACCAGAGGCTGGCCGGATGCCAGGTCCCTGATCTTGGTCTGTTCAGCCACCAGAATCATGAGACAAACCTGCTTTATAAATCACCCAGTGTCAGGTATTTCTGTTAGCAACACAATAACAGACTAACACGGCAGTAAACAAAAGAAAATCACACTAACATCACTGCCCTCAGAAAGACTCCAGCCTATCCAGGGAGAGGAGACATTCAGAGTGTGTCAAAGGTGACCCTTGTAACTGGAGAAAATTGAGGCAGGGGAGATGGACAAGGGATTGTGTGTACTGTTAACTAGGAACGGTCAATGGCCTGAAGGAGGAGAGGGAGGGAGGCATAGAGACACCAAGAAAAGAGGGCTCCATGCAGCGGTAATAGTAGATGCCATTGCTGTGGTATTTGCTGGACACAGTTTCTTTTTATTTCACCTTTGAAAATCTTCCCAGTGCCTTCTGGCCTCCATTTCTGATAACAGATCATCTGTTAACCATATTAAAGATCCCTTGTGGATGATGAATCTTTTCTTTCTTGCTTCTTTCAAGACTTGTCCTTATCTTTGGCTTTTGACAATTTATATGATGCATCTCAACATGTAGCTCTTACCTTATCCATCCCGGCGCACACTGAGGTCCTTGGATATATAGGATATTTTTAAAAATCTGGGGATATTTCTAGCCACTATTTTGTTTGTTTGCTATAGTATGTGTGTGTGTGTGTGTGTGTGTGTGTGTGTGTGTGTGTGTGCTCACTGGAGAGATATAGAGATAGAGAGAAGGAAAGTAAGAAATCACCCCCAGAGGGGATGGTCACACCACGATACCTTTTCTTCCATTTTTGTCTTGGGGTTTTTGGATACACACACACAGGCACCCAACATGTTTCTCAAGCTGCTGGGTGTGGGATATGAACAGTCAGCCATATGGAATCCAGCTGCCTTAACCATCACACCACCTGGATGGCCCACCCACTATTTTCAAATATTCCTTTTTCCCTTTCTCTCTTTCCTGTCCTCTGGGATTAATGATGTGTGTGTTGGTATAACTGACGGTATCCCACAGGTCTCTGAAGCTCTCTGCATTTTATGCATCCTCTTTTTTCCTGTTCGTCAGCTTGGATAATCTCAATTGACCTACATTCAAGTTCACTGACTCTTTTTTCTGCCTGCTCAAATCTGCCGCTGAGACACTCTAGTGAATTTTTCATTTCAGCTACCGTATTTTTCAAATTTAGAATTTCCATTTGGTTGGGATTTTAAAAAAGCATAATCTCTCTCTCTCTTGATTCTCTATTAGATGAGAAATCATTTTCAGAGTTTCTTTTAGTTATATTGTTGACACAGTTTCTTCCTTGATCATATTTAAAATAGTTGGTTTAAAGTTTTAGGCTAAGAAGTGAAACACCTCACCTTCCTCAGAGACAATATACGTTGACTGTTTTCCCCTGAGTGTGAGTCACACATACTTGTTTTCTTGCGTAGTTCATATATTTTTACTGAGACCTAAATAATGTGGTAACTTGGGAAATAATATTTCCCTGCCATTCCTGCCAATCTCAGGGATTATTGTTGCTGTTTCATTTTATTTGTTTGTTTGCTTGTTTTTGCTTTTTTTTTAACATAGATTTTTTGCTATTGGGCATGTGCACTCACTGGAGAGGCAGAAAGCGAGAAATCACTCCCCAGGAGGGATGGCCATGCTGTCATCCCTTCTTTTCCATTCTCCTCTCAGGACTCTGGGCACTCAGGCACACATGCCCAGAGTGAGTTTTAAGCCCCGGGTCCAGGACCTGAACTGCAGTCCACCACGTGGAAGCCCAGCAACATAACCATTATGCCATTTGTTGGTTCTGTTGTTTGTTTTTGATGTTGCTCATTTAGTGAATTTTTTAAACTCTTCATGCATGTGGTCTTCTGAAATTCCAGAGGTATTCCCAGAGCTTTTCAAAGCACTCTATGGACATCTCATTCCTCAGTTTTTCCTTTAAGTTTTTTGGTTACCTTGTTGTTTGCCTCAACTGTTATCACCACCTAAGATAGCTACTGTGCTAAACAAATAACTGATTATTTTCAATAAAAGTGCTGGGCAAAGACTAGTAACATGTTGGCCTTTCAGTCAGGTCAAATAAAGACAAGCTTTATACGTGGGCATTTCCAGTGAATTCCCAGACAGGTCAAATACTGACATTCTCTGAGAACGACGCTTTGACTTCCTCCAGTTGCTGGCAGGCTGCCGGCTTTCACCGTGATTGCAACCGTTTTTTTTTTCAAAGTTAGCATGGCACTAAGAAGACAGGAGGATGGGAACAGGTCTAGTCAATGCCACAAAGCTCACTTTTTCTGAGACTTCATTGTTTTTCATAAATAAATATTCCTGGAT